ATAGGGCAGTGCACTCGCTGGAGAGAGACAGAGAGAGACCATGAGAGGGAGAGTGAGAAATCACCCTCCAGGAAGGATGGCTACACAGCAATCCATTCTCCTCCTGGGATTTTGGGCACACAGGCGCTTGCCCCGTGTGTGAATTTCAAGCTGCCAGGTGTGTGACTTGAACTGTGATTGGCCATGTGGCGGTCTGGTGCCTTAATCACTATGCCACCTGCTGACCCATTGTTAACATATTTTTTAAAAGAACCTAAATTTGGGACCAGCAGTTAGCATAATGGCTATGTCGCTGGACTCCCACGTAGTCCACCGCGGTTCACATCCCTGGCCGGGTGCCTTAAAACTCACACCGGGCACGTGTGCGTGCGTGCCCAAGATCCCGGGAGGAGAATGGGGGAGAAGGGATTGCGGCGTGGCCATCCCCCCTGGGGGGTGATTTCTCGCTTTCTGTCTCTTTGTCTTTCTCTGTCTGCCGAGCGCACGCGCCCTATAGCAAAAACCTTTCCAAAAAAAATATAGAACCTAAATTTTATTTCAACAGTTCGGGGTCTCACGAGCCTGGCTCTGACGGCTGGTCGCTGGCTGGCTCCTCCTGGCCTCCCTGCCTCCTCCTGCCAGATGGCTCCCAGTCCTTCCTTCCCTTCGGCAGGCCTCACTCCTTCCAGGTCTCCCCTGCGCGCACGCCTCACCTCCCGGCCTTCTAGCTGACGCCCGGTGGCTCACCTTCAGATCTCCTTCCTGTCTCCCTTCCAGCCGGCCTCCCTCCTCTCCCCTCCTAGTCTGGTCCCCTTCTTCCCCTTCTCTCCTCTCCTCCTGGCCTCCCCTTCGGCCGCCCCTCCCGACCCCTTTACTTCCCGAGGTCCTGCCTCTCCACCTAAGCCTCTCTCGGGCTTCCAGCTCTCCCCACCCGCTCCTCCTCGTCAGCTCCTCTCCTCCCCTCCACCCTCCCCTCCTCCCTTTTCTTCCTCTCTCCTCCTCCTCCCACCCGGCCGCAGCTCTTCCGCTAGGCGCCGACTCCGTGTCTGGCCAGGGGCGGTGCCTGTTCCCGCGTCTCCGCCCCGCCCAGCAGGAGGCACCGCCCTCCGGGTCGCGACCCGCCCCCAGCGCTCCCGGGCGGCTGCAGTACAACTCCCTCGGGCTGAGCCTCAGCGGGAGAGCAGGTTTTTCTCAGGACGTGGGACAGGTAGGTGCGCGTCTCTGGGGACAGAAGCCCGGGGCTCGGCGCCACGTGCAAGGAGGCCCAGGTCTTTGCTGTGGCGCAGTTGAGGAACTTACCCAGGTCCACGCTCAGAAGGAATACGTTGTCCCTGCGGTAAAGCAGCCGCCCCGCCCCGCTGGCTGCAGGTCTGCAGCGGCGAGGCTCCGTGTGCTCTGGGGTCCCTCCTGTCGGTGTGCACCCTTGCGCTTAGAGGCCTCGTGGGAACTTCGCGTGCACGAAACCGTGTTGGTTTCTGCCGTTTCCGAGCGTTCCCTCGCTGCCATCGAACACTCTTCGGAACTATGAATAATTTTCCTGCAGCTGGACATTTTGGTTGTACAGGTTTTGCTGATATAAAACTATGAAAAACCCTAGGGCATTGCATCGACATTTCTATCCCCCTTGGGCGGCACTTCCTGAGGGTGCGCATGGGGGGTGCTCAGACAGGGTAGCTGTTGCCCAGGACTGTACAGTGGACGCCAGCTGCCGGGCCGGGCAGGCCTCGCGACACTGGGCACCGCAGCCATGTCCCCTGGCTCATGGCAGATGCCACCTGTTGTTTTCAAAGCCCATTTGAGATAAGGTTGTCAGAAATGAGCCCTGCAAGCCTCTGGGGAGCCGTCCAGCCCGGGAACAGCCAGAAAAGGCCCACAGCGGGGATGATTGGCATGTGCCGGAGGCCAGCGTGTGCTCACGTGTGGCCTTCCAGTTACCGTAATACCTTACGGAAAAGAACACGAGTGCCCAGAAACACTTAAGGGAGTGTGACGGCCCAGGGAAAGTGTGGGCCCCAATGCCAGACGGAAAGTAGGAGCCTTGCTGTTATTCAAAGCCTCCCATTTGATGCCGGCTGCCTGTAGGGTCTTGGTGTCCCTGTGTCCCTCTTCAGCTTATCGTGGTTTCTGTTTCTAAATCTTTAATGCTTTCGGAAGTTGATTCCTGGACTGCTTTTTTTTAGAGACCAGTCCGCACTATGTCATCTGCTCACCAAAATCTGTTTTTTCTATCTTATTGGAGAAATTAATTGTGTTGGCAAGTTTGACATCTGAATTATTTAGGACCTTGGGGCAGGAAAAGTGGAAAACCACACTCTTCACTACCCATTTCTCACCCTCGTGATTTCTGGTGAGTGAGGGAATGTTGTCTGATTATACTGTGAAAAGATCATTTCAGCAAGAACTGATTTGACTTTCATACAGATGTAAACATGATCACAGAGTTAAGAATTTACGTTATTCATGGGACCAGCAGTTGGCATAATGGCTGTGTCGCTGGACTCCCATGTAGTCAACCGCGGTTCGAGTTCCGGACCTGGTGGCCCAAACTAATGGGGGGTGCGTGTGTGCCCAAGATCCCGAGAGGAGAATGGAGGAGAAGGGATTGTGGCATGGCCATCCCCCCTGGGGGGTGATTTCTTGCTTTCTGTCTCTCTGTCTTTCTGGTGAGCGCACGCGCCCTATAAAACACAAAAACCCCTCTCCAAAAAAAAAAAAAGTTTACGTTATTCATTAATGAGGGAAACAGGCAGGGCTGGCTCCGTAGCACAGTGCTCAGAATCCAGAAGAGGATTGCAGCATGACCAGACCCCATGGCAGATGCTCGTCTCCCGCCTCCCCCCACTTCCATGTGTGTACACATGCGCCCTATCGTGAATAAAGAAAAGAATATGGGGACCAGCAGTTAGCGTAATGGCTATGTCGCAGGGCTCCCATGTGGTCGACCGTGGTTCGCTTCCTGGACCTGGTGGCTTAAAACTCATGCTGGGCGCTTGTGCATGCGTGCCCGAGATCCCGAGAGGAGAATGGAGGAGAAGGGATTGCGGCGTGACCATCCCCCCTGGGGGGTGATTTAAAAAAATGTGTCTCTCTGGAACGCTCCGGTGCCCTATAGAAAAAAAAAAAAAAAAAAGAAAAGAAAGAAAAAAGAAAGAGTGAAACAGGTAGAAGTTACAATTCATTATTGGTTCGAAAAATAACTAGGATTGGCTGTGGTCTAGCGGTTAAGGAAGCTGGATCCCTCCTGGCCAACCATGCTGTTTGAGCCCCAGCCCCAGATGGCTTCAAAACAAGCTGTGTGTGTGCGCCCCAAATCCCAACAGGACGGAGGTGGAGAAGAACTTGTGGTATGACCACACCCCACGGGGGGTGCTTTCCTCTCTCTCTCTGTCTCTGTCTCTGACAGGCACATGTGCCTTTAGCAAATTAATCCCAAACCTGAAAAACAGAAAAAGTAATTGCAAATGTGTATGTGGAGTGAAGGGCTATTGCAGGAAGGTGCCTGAGAGGAGGGGAGCCTTGGAATTCGCAGACGGACCACTCAACAGTGACCCTCCCCATTTTTTTTTTTTTTAAGAATGATTTATTTTGGGGAACCAGCAGTTAGCGTAACAGCTATGTCGCTGGACTCCCACATAGTCGACCGCTGTTCGCGTCCTCGACCCAGTGGCTTAAAACTCACACCAGGCGCGTGTGCGTGCGTGCCCAAGATCCTGAGAGGAGAATGGAGGAGAAGGGATTGTGGTGTGATCATCCCCCCTGAGGGG